TTCTCTCAGCTCTAAACCAACCCTCTGCACGCCGCTCTGAGATCCTGGGGCTGGGGCTCTGTACACTCGTCTCTCCTCGGGTTTTGGCTTTCCTGTCAGGCTCCTTCAGCGGAGGCACTTGAGGAAGACCTGAAGGTGGGAGGGTAAGAAGGGACTTCCTGTCTGCGTTGTGTTTCTGTCAGTGTCACCTCAGCAGCAACCCTTCACCTGGCAGCAGTAGTTGTTCCAGTCTCTGACTTTTTTGGGGTATTTATTCCCAGAAGCAGCCTCATTGCATCCCCTCCGAGACTCCAGGACTGGTCAGTTAGCTGTCTCTCCTCAGAAGTCGGCCCGTCCTCTGAGCTCTTGGGGTCAAATGACCCTAGACCTGCCCTCTGCTCCTCTCCTCACGCAGGAACGTAGCCGCCTCGTGCAGTCACTACCCTTGGGATGTCTCACTGTCCTCCTCTTTTGGCTTTGACAGTTCTCCGTTACCTGATTAACCATTTCCTTATGCTAAATTATCTTTGTCAAAATAACGGGTGTCATTTCTGCTTTCCTGGCTGGATCTTGACTAATTAGGATACTTGGTACCAAGAGTGGTCCCGAGAAGCAGACGCTCAAAGAAGGGATCCTGAGACTGATGGGGCCACCCCCTCGGGCCTGATTGCAGTGCGATGGGATACGGAATACAAGCAGGATGTACTGGAGTGGGCTCATGCCAGCTCGCCAGCAACGATGGCGCACTTCTATTTTCAACTCTGTGTTCAGTGACATCCCAAAGGTAGCTTACAAATCAGTCATGGAAGAAGTGTTTGCACTACAGAAATCTGCCAAAACTACAAATCAGAGTTCTTTTTGCCCCAGAGAGCCAGTTTAGCATATACCATGGGTTACAAGTAATCTACAAGTAACATGTAGTGACATCACTGCTAATCACACTCTCACCTATGTGATTGTGATATAGTGCCCACAGAAGCAAGGGCCTCGGAGAGCCAAGTGGCTGCTACAGTTATGTGGTAGTGACAACAGGACTGTGGCGTAGGATAGCTGGGTCTGAGTTCACCACAGCTATTATGGAAAGAAAATGATACGCTCTTTAAACTCTCAGCTTAAGTCACAGTCAGAAAACCAGAGAGATTCTGTGGAGCCCTAAAATAATCCTGTATTTCTCATAGCTATAGGTTTTTGACCTTGCTGAAAATCATACCCCAAATTTGATTGGGCAGGTTGCAGAATTACGACATAAATGGGCTCCACGGACTTGCGGAATCTCAAGCAGTTTACTGGATGTCTACTTTGTCCGGCTGAGAGCTGGCCAGAAACACAGATGTATGCTGACTGGTGGGCAGTGGGTGGCCAGGAACAGACGTGGCAGAACCAGATTGGTGAGAAGGAGGTGTGGGGAGGAGGTATGTGGCTGCCTCTCAGGATGGCACAGTGTGAAGACATTGGTGTCCCATGTAAATGCACACCCAAGGGCATCCATGCACAGTGACTCTAATAATCAAGTGGACAAGGTGTCACATTCTGTGGGTGTCAGCCTTTATTTCCGGCTTTGTCATTGTTTGCTCCTTGGGTTTATTTACAAAGTGGCTATGGTGGCAGGTGTGGAAGTTCTGCATGGCCCCAAGAACACAGACTTCCAACCTCGTCAAACAGACCTGGTCACTGCCACCGCTGATCATCTAAAGTGACAACAGTGAAGACCAACACTAAAACCCCAGTATGGCTCCATTTCCTGGGGGGAGGAGGGGCCTGAAACCAATGTTAGAAGCCTGCCAACGTGACCACTCAGGTATGTAAAAGAACAAAATAGAATGTACGGACTTAAAAAAAATAACAAATGAAAAACTCCTGGAACAGGTTTATCAGCAGCTTAAGGGAGAATTAGTGACATGAGAGATTAAGCTGTGACAGAGAGGTAAAGAGACATGGAGAATGGTGTGCGAGAGTCTCAGTGTTTACAGACTTCTCTCTCTCTCTGTTTCTTTCTTCCTTTACCACAGCCCAGAGTACTAAATGCACTTGCGACTCACTACATAGGTATATGTATAGGTATGTTAATAAATACAACCGAAACAAAAGCTTCAGGAAATAATACAATTCACACTGATATTTTCTATTCACTTTCTTTTTCAATGCTGGTAACAACCTACTAAATTGATTTTATAAGTCACTTTTGGGAAACAATGTACAGTTTGAAAAACATTGATTGAATAAACTACTAGTCAGACTTCCAGAATAAAAGAGAGAGAGAATGAGGCTCAGGTTATATTTAAAAGAGGTATCGTCACAATGCTCCAATGTGGAAGAACCTTGAAGACATTATGCTAGGTGAAATAAGCCAGATACAAAAGGACAAATACTGTATGATTCTACTTATATGAGGTCCCTAGAGCAGTAGATTCATAGAGATGGAAAGTGGCATGGTGGTTCCTGGGGGCCGGGGCGGGGGGGTAGTTCTTATTTACTGTGCAGAGTTCCAGTTTTACAAGATGAAGAGTTCTGGAGACGGATGGGGGTGAAGATTGCACAACATGGTGAATGTATTCAATATCATTGAATTGTTCAGTTAAAATGATTAAGATAGTAAATTATATGTTATGTGTATTGTACTATAATTAAAAACTTTTTTTTAAAATGTCGTCTAAGGATTTTCCAAAATGATGAAAAATACCAATCAACAAATTCAGAAACACCCGAGGATTCAAGCAGGATGAATGCTGTATACTGAATGTTTGTGTCCCCTTCTGGGAGGTGATTAGGTCATGAGAGTGTGGCCCTCAGGAATAGGGTTATTGCCTTATAACAGGGACCCCAGGGCCAGCCCGGTGGCACAGTGGTTAAGTTTGCACATTCTGCTTTGGCGACCCTGGGTTTCCCAGTTTGGATCCTGAGTGCAGACCTATGCACCACTTACCATGCCATGCTATGGCAGGCGTCCCACATATAAAGTAGAGGAAGATGTGCATGGATGTTGGTTCAGGGCCAATCTTCCTCAGCAAAAAGAGGAGTATTGGTGGCACATGTTAGCTCAGGGCTAATCTTCCTCCAAAAAAATAAAAAACAAACAAACAACAACCAAAAAACAGAGACCCCAGAGAGCAAGAGAACACTGACCATGAACCAGGAAGTGGGCTCTTGACAGCCACGGCATCTTCCCAGCCTCCAGAACTGTGAGAAATAAATGTTTGTTGTTATTTAAGCCACCTAGCCTATGGTATTTTGTTATTGCGGCTTAAATGGACTAAGATAATAAATAAAAACATACATTGTGGTAAGTAAAACTTCAGAACCTCAGAACAGGGGGAAAAACAGATTTTCTTGGAAGGAATGAAGAAGAGATTGTCATCAGAAACCTCAACAGTAACAACGGGAGCTGGAATCCAGTGGATGGTAACTGTCACTCCAGAAAACCAGCCAAATTATCTTTTAGGAAGAAGGGCAAAATAAAGTCATTTTCAGATGAACAAAAACGGAGAGACTTTGCCCCAACAAACCCTCACTGAAATAGAATTTAAAGGATGTACTTTGGGCACAAGGAAAGTGATCCTAGTTCTAAGTTCTGAGATGCAAGAAGCAAAGATGAGCAAAGAAATTGGTAAATGCGTGGTTGAGTCTAAACTAACATCAACTATATAAAGCAAGTTAGTAATGACTCATGGGGTGAAAAAGGGAAAGATTAAAATTAAAATAGACCACAATTAAGGCATATAATTTAGAGGATGAGTGATTAAAGTATCTGAAAGTACTTATATTTTAAGAGAGCAAGGTAAAGATATTTAAGAAATTGGCCTTTCATAAGATAAGCACCCATGTCAAATTTCTAGGGTAATTACTTAAACAACAGAAATAGAGTGTATAAGAGGAAGAAAAATGGAATGAGAAAAAAATCAGCCCTAAAGAAGCAATAAATGAGAGGAAAAAGAAAAAACAAGCATGACAAATAGAAAGCACAAAATAATATGATAGAAATAAATCCAGATACAGTGTTTATCAGTAAATATAATAAGTATAAATGGACCAAATGCTCTAGTTAAAAGACAAAGATTATTTTTTTAAAAACTTTTTTATCATGAAAAATTTAAGTGTACAGAAAAGTGGGAATAGTACAAAGAATACCCATATGTCTGCCATGCAGAGTTAACATTTTAACTATTTGCTGTGTCTGTTTCATCTATATACATATATATAGGAGACTATTAAGAACACATATTTTATGTGGTAAACATTATATACTGAAATAAAACTTAAATGGCAGTACTGATGTAGAGTGTTCACTTTTGAGGCCAAGGAGATCTGGGTTCCCAGGAATTTTTAATCACATAATTTGTGTGGTTATTTATTCAAAGGCTTTCTCTCCAATAGGCTCTAGCGAGAGGGTAGGAACAAGGTCAACTTTTCTGCTTATTGTATTTCTAAATATTTGTTGCCTCTATTAGTGAAGGATTCAGCACAGTGCTTGTTATACAGTAAACATTTAATGTAGAGTAGCTATTATTTATTATAGCTGCCGCTGTTGTTATTGAAAGCATTCAGCAGAATGGCACAAAACAAGCAAGCAATAATTGGTAGCTTACTATATTTATATTTATTGTTTACCACATGTCACAGCGCTTAGCACACATCATTCACCTATCAACATTACGTTTATAGGGAGAATAAATAGTACTTTCATTATTATTCAAAGTCTCTAACAGTGCCTGGCACTACACAAGCAAAGGAAAAGTCAAGTTTATTCTTCTCATTACTATTGAGTAAAGCACTTCACACAACGGCTCTTTCCCTTGGCCCCTGAATAAGTAATCTTCGCGGTGACAGTCCTCGTTTCTAGGCGTCCCGGACCCGCCCCTCCTCCGGACTTCTAGACGCCCCGCCCCCTGCCGCCCGGCAGCCCCGCCCCCCCGGCCAGCGCCGCGCCTGCGCACTGTCCCCGGAGGGGGGACGCGCGCGCAGGGCCGAGCCGGCCAGCCTGCTGCGTGCGTGCGTGCGTCGCTGCGTGCGTGCGTGCGTGCCGTGCGCTCGCCGGGCACCGCGGCCTCGCCCTCGCCCTCCGCCCCTGCGCCTGCACCGCGTAGGCCGCCCCCCCGCGCGCACCCTGTCGGCGACCCCCGCCCGCGCCCCGGCCGGCCCCCCCTTCTAAATTTAAAGGGGGCGCAGCCTTCCCGCCTCCCGCTCCAGGTGACCGCTCAGGGGTCTCCCGCCTGAGGTGCCCCGCCGCCGAGGAACATGGCGAAGGTGGAGCAGGTCCTGAGCCTCGAGCCGCAGCACGAGCTCAAATTCCGAGGTAAGCCCGGAGGCCCGCCATGTTCGGCCGCGGGCCCGGCCGCCGCCCGGCACCCCCGCCCCCCCCCGCGCTCCGGGGGCCCGGCCGCGCAGTGACGTCGGCCCCGCCCCGCCCCGACGGCGCGCCCGCCCGCCCGCGCCCCGGGCCGGGAGGCCCCGTGCCGCCCCTCCTCCCGAGCCGCGCGCCGCGCCCTCGAGCCGCCGGGCCCGGGGACATGTTGGCGGCGACCGTCCGGCCCGGGGCCGTCCGCTCCCGAGCACAACCGTGGGCGCCCCCTTTGCCGGGAAGGCTCTTCCCTGCGCTCCACGAGGTTGCCCTCTTGGGGGCTTAGGTCAGATGTCAGCTCCTCGGGGAGGCCTGCCCTGGCCCCCCGCCCGCCTGGACGCCCGCGGGCATCCCCTGTCACGGCGCCCGGCCGCGGGCCGCGCGGCGCTCGCTTCCCACGAGCACCCTTTCCCGCCTGTGTGCCAGCTTGCGGCGCTCGAAGGGAAACTCCATGCGGGCCGGACCGGTCGTCGCTCTGCTCCGTGCCCAGCACGTGTCGGGGGCCGAGGTTCCGCAGGCGCCTCCGCGGGCGCGGGGAGGGGACGGGCTGACCTGCCTTCTGCTGTCTTCCCGTGCCCCTGCTCGCGTCCGTGCGCTGGGGGGCTGCGGGGGGCTGCGAGGCCTTCCACCCAGAGCAGCCTGGAACGGGAGCCAGAGGAAGCCTGGTGCGCGGCTGTGCTGGGGGCAAGCCGGGGCCCTTTGTAACGATTTTCATGATTTTTCCCCCCTTCTCCTCCACAATATGAGCCCGTGAGACAGTAGGGAGCTGTGTGACTTGATTCCTTCTTTTCAAATGTGTTGAGTAACTGGTAGTCATGTGCTTGGCACTGGAGAGACAGGGAACGAACCAGACAGACGAGTCCCCTGCCCTCATGGAGCTTGCCTGCTAATCAGGGCAGACAAACCAGCAAATGGCAGCGTTTCAGATGGTGGTAAGTGCTGTGAAGGAAATAAAACCGGCCGACATGGTGCGAGTATGCGTGAGGTCGGATGGCCAGCGCTTGGCCCACAGCAGGTGCTCAGTAGATATTTGGGGAATGGATGTTGGCCAGAGGCACCCCGGTGTATATGTAGTGGCAGGAAGTAGTGTAGGATAACTTACCCAAAGTTGCCCAGTTGGCAAATGGCACATTTGAGCCCAGGCTTTAGAGCTCACCCTGTTTTTTTCCTCTCCCCAAAGCCCCCCAGTACATAGTTGTATATTCTAGTTGTAGGTCCTTCTGGTTCTGCTCTGTGGGACGCCACCTCAGCATGGCTTGATGAGCTGTGCTAGGTCTGTGCCCAGGATCCGAACCTGTGAAACCCTGGGCCACCGAAGTGGAGTGTGGGAACGTAACCACTTAGCTACGGGGCAGCCCCATGAGCTCACCCTCTTAACAATTATGTTTTCTGACCCTGGGAGATAGTCCAGAACTGTAGCTGTCTAGAACTTTGCCTCTCAGCTTAACAATCTGAAATGACCCCAGATGCATAAAGAAGCAAGAGTTTTGTAGTTAAAATGAAAATAAAACAAAAATTTAAAAAAAAAATCACAAAAGCCTAACATGGATTAAATTCCATGACAGTCTTTGAGCTTGCGTGACGTTCTCATGGCCTCCTAGAGGAGCCAGGCTGGAAAAGGAGTCCAGGTTGCTAAAGTGATTGTGGAAGATGATGGTTTCCACCTGAGTTGTCTGAAGTTCTTGACATTGGAAGCCTGTGGCTTGGCCACTCCTGGGAATTGGCATATTCATTCATTTAGTCCACAAACGTTTACTGAGTGCTCCATGTGTCAGGTACCAGGAAAGGATGAGTCACATCATATGTGTGCCCCCGTTCTCCCTCAACACCCTACCCCAGCACTGAAATCTAGGGAAGGGCGCAGATGACAGAATGAGGCAGGACAGTGCAGTGATAGAAGGTGATCCTGAGTGCTCCGGCAGCACGAAGGAGGTCAGCTCCTGAGAGAGGTGTCATTTGAGCTGAGTTTAAAGGTCGAATGGAAGCAGGCTAAAAGAAGAAATATCTGGATGGGGAGCTTGTCAGGCAGAGGAAATTGCATGTACTGAGGCACAAAGGCTGAGGTGACTGGGCTCCTTTGGGATGCCACTAGTAGGTCTGCATGACAGCAGCAACGAGCATTTGTTGGTTGCAAGGCAAAGTAGGAAGATGAGGCTGCTAGTAGACAGGAGTCAGATCTTCTAAGGCCACCTGTGTGCAGATGCAGCCACTGTCCAAGTGCAAATTGTGTTGCTTCTCAGCTAGTCCTTCCTTGATCGATCCCTTGCAACCTCAACCCCCACCTGCAGTATATACGCTCTTCTCTAATGTGATGTTATGGAAAGAGGCACTAATTTGAGAAATTGGAGTTTTTGTCCCACTTCTTTCACTTAGAGATGTTTGACCACTTCACTCCCCAAAGCCTGGGGTCACTCGTCAGTCCATGGGGCTGCCGCTCATGTCTGCCTTTCCTCCTGTAGAAAGTTTTGTTACTGTTTAGAAGCCGTGCTTTGTAAATGCACAATATTACACAGAGATTGGTGGTTGTATTTAGACAACTGACTTCATCATTTCAACTTCTTTACCTGAAAGATATGGAAGAGAAGAGTGATTTTTCTGGCCCTGGGTTGGCCGAAGTAATGATGGGCAAAGTCACTGGATATTTTTGCTAGGGAAGTGGTCCGAGAGAAGTCGCGGTGTCCCACTGCTGAAGGCTGTTGGCTCATGACTTCAGAAGAGGCGTATTCAGGCATGTGTAAACCACTTTATGAGATTTGTTTGTTTTAAACTGAGCACTAAGACCATGAAATAGGGTAGAGGCTCAGTGCCCTGGCTTGCTGTATAGATATCATTCATTTCAGGATCAGAACTGGCATATTTAACGTCTCTTCCAAGTCACTCAGAGTGGTGACTCTGACTTGGGGTGGTTCACTTAGATGAATCAAACTTGTAAGCTAACTTTGCTTAATAAGAAGGTGATAATTCAAATGCCTGTCATCCAAAGGAAAATAATTAATCATCTTGTAAGTGCAGCCTAAGATGATATGGGATTGTATATGTTGGATTCTTTTTCAGTGTGGGCATTTTGTGTAATTATGTTGAATTCAAGGATGTTAAGAAGAAAAGAGAACACAGACTCGCATGGCCTTGGTCAGTCTTTTAGAAAGTGCCGTCTACATTGTGGCAGGTATCAGAGGCGAAAGACTACTGGCCTCTTGAAAGAAGCACAACACTGTGACATTTGCCTTGGTGAAACAGTGGGAGCTCTTTTGGATTGGGGGACCTTTCTGAAAGAGTGAAGGGTTTTTGGAAACCTGTGGAATGTGTGCTTTGCGTTGTCACTCTTTCTGTTTCTCTCACTTCCAAGGCCTAGTCCTTTTCTTTCCATCTCCTCGTTCTGAGGTCCTACTTGCCGCCCAGCTCAAAGGGCTTTCGGAATGAGTCACTTTCAGGGCATTTTCTCTCTCTTGTGTTCTTTCTCTCTCCTCTGCCTCCCCTTCCATCGTATTCCATCTGTGGTATATAGAATGCCTTCTATTTTTTTTGTCATTGTCCGGGACTCTTAATCCTTCTTCACATCCTAGCACCACCTCCACCCCGCCCCCCAGTGATACTGTCGGGTGAGAGTGGTCTGTTAACTAACTAGCTCATGAGGATGTTTAAGGTTTAAACCCTCTGTGGACTCATTCACCCTTGCTTTCTTCTGAGACTAAACCAGTGGCCTTCAGGAAGTCTCAGAGTTCTGCTGTTGGTCAGTAGGGATTTCCGGTGGGATAGAACCAGTGGGTTGGTGTGGTTGGTTACCGCTTTGGGGAGATAATAGTAGGAACTTGGGGGCTATAGATGGTAGGTAAGTTAGGAACACTATCATTTGGATAAGGAAAGCATGCTTAGAATCACCCCCTTAGTGTGTAATTTAATATTGTTTGGGAAGCTAAAAAATATAAAACCCTGCAGATATAGTCAGTTCAATGCAGTAATTATCTTTCAGGTGCTAGCTACAGGATTAATTCTTTAGCTTTGGAATAGCACTGATTTCCTTAACATTTCATGATCACGTGAAGCAGACTGTTTTACAGCACAACAGAATGTCAGCAGTCTGCTTAAGATTCTTTATAGTAGTAGTTTAAATCCATCCTGAATAGATTATCTTCATTTATTTAATTATTAACCAGCTTGCTCATCAAAAGCAAGTGGCATTAAACTTACTAGGCTTTAGTCAAACTTAAATCTTCATAGATTACACTATTTATTTTTGAGTTTTTGTTCCTGGGAGAAAAATGTGAACCAGAAGTTAACTTTCTTTTATCCTCTTTTCTTGATAGTTAACTCCTTAGGGGAAAAAAATGGATAGTTCTTGGCCATGTGCTTATATTTGGAAAGTAGTGCTAGTTTCTTGATGTGTGTGATTGTAACATGCATTACAGTTATCTTCATAATTACCTGGTAGCTTTGCATCCAAGTGTGGATTTATTAAAATAATTAGTCTGAATTGATGCTTATTACAGAGATGAACTCTTAAACATTTACACTATCTTTTACTTATTAAAATTATATAGCATCTTTCCTTCCAGTGCTGAAGGCAAAATACTGAGAACTTTGGGCAGTGTTATCACTAAGTAGTGGAAAATGAGGAAAGGAGTCAAGGGAATAGAAGACATTGATTATCACTCTAACACTACCCTTAGGCTTGATTTTTAGAACCTGAAACTTGAATTTTTACATAAAGAATGATCTCCCAGATTGCTTCATAATCCCCCATTTGTATTTGAAAAATTTGCCACCTGAGGGACCATGATTTGGAACAAATGAGCACGGCCTTCAGCAAGATGACAAGAAGAACACAAAGAGGGCTGAGTTCCATTAGTCAAGACAAAGTTGCCATAGAGTGTCTTTAATAAAATAAAATAAAAGCCTTCTGTATGGTTATTTTGCAACAAGGATTGTGTTAAAAACAAGTTGCGTTCAGGCTGTCG